CCTCTCTCCACCACTTTCAGAAAACTTCTGTGATAAATCTCCAAACTCCATTTTAGTTGTTCTACCCGATAGTATTGAAGGAAATGTGTGGGGCAACTATTTTCTGGGCTAAGGTCACAACTTATTTTATTTTTGAATTTTAGATCCAAAGAGCTGATTATCTTCATGGAGCAACTGCACTGCACTTGGCTATTCCGAATGGCCATTCTAGAGGCATCCAGATTCTCCTTACTGATTACATTCCTAGCATTCCTAATCTTTATAGCATCTTAAGGAAAAGATCAAAAAATGATAGAGTGCATTGATTTTTATTCATGATTTTCTTTGATTTTTATTTTTTGTGTGCGATTTAGTGATTTTTTTTTTTTTGGGAAAATATTGAATTACAAATAGGAATTTAATTTTAGGTTTATTGATTCGTGTAGTTTGAAACTTAAATTAGATTTGTGATATATCCCGTACGAAATGTATTTTTTGATCCGTTTGGGTGAGGACTGGAGAACTATCTATTGATATTATCGTGCATTGTGATTGTACAATTACTTTTTTGAGTGGAATTTTTATGGATTTGGGAAAAAGTGCGCATTTTAGAGATTTCTGTCCATGTTTTATGTTATCTTATATAGAGAGTAAAAATTATAATATTGTTGGTTTATATGTTGAGATTCTACTATGGATAAGACTGTCAGAAACCTGTGCTAAATGGGTGGAATTATTTTATTTCTTCATTTTGGTTGGTAATAATCTAATTTAAATATAAAAGGTTGATTATAATTCATCTTCTTGAATAATATGTAATAATAAGAACAACACTTCATGTGATTTATGCCAGTGACCTGAGAATATTATGTTATATGCTTATGCACGTATGTGACCTGAGAATATTATGTGATCTATACTTGTGACATCTGTTAATTTGCATCTGTGACTTGACATAAACTCCTTTCCTGTAGCTTTGGAAATTCATGCTGAGTATTTGCTACATGACGATAAGGATTCGATGCTGGGCAAATTTGATGCGGGGAGAACAAGGCTGGACATAACAACACGCCGTTTAAACATCGGGGCATATACAAGCCTATAAAGATGGGGAAGCA